GCATACATATAACAGTAAACCATCATGAAGCAACAGCGAATTGGAGGCCCACAAGAAACAGACTAAGAGTTGGGGCGGGGCGCAGCCGCCCCCATGGCTTTGGTGTTCAGACACTAACCGCTACGGTTCGTGTTCTACGAGGCATTTGAGAAGGATTCTGCGCTACGAGGGCTTGTAAAAGAAGGGTTCTGGGCTACGAGGCCTTTCAGAAGGATTCTGTGCTACGAGGCCGAGAAGGATTCTGTTGTACCAGGCAATGCGCGCCCCGACCCCGCGGCCCCGCGCCGGGGTAGAGGTCGGAAAAGGATTAATTTTGTGCTATATGAGGGATTCTGTGCCATTAGGGTAGTTTGCAAGAAGGATTCTGTGCTACAAGGGCTTGTAAGAAGGATTCTGTGCTACGAGGCCTTTCAGAAGGATTCTGTGCTAGGAGGGCTTGCAAAAAGGATTTTGTGCTACGAGGCCTTCAAGAAGGATTCTGTGCTACGAGGGCTTGTAAGAAGGATTCTGTGCTATGAGGCCTCTAAGAAGGATTCTGTGCTGCGAGAAGTGGTAATAGTCGTGCGCCCTTGCTTGTCGGGGTCCCGCCCAAAGTAGAGGTCTGAAAAGGATTCTGTGCTACGAGGGTTTGTAAGAAGTATTCTGTGCGAGGAGGGCTTGTAAGAAGAATTCTGTGCTACGAGAAGTAGTAGTTGCGCTTGTTGAGCGTGTTTGGAGTGCAACATGTGTGGCAATCGCAGAATTGCGAAGGAGTATGTGCATTTGTTAGGAATTGAACTGCAATGGATGTGTAAGGAGTACTCTGCGTCTCAGCTGATCTGGGGTTCGATGTGGGCAGTGTATGAGTGCGAAGGTACGCAGTTGGCTTGCAGTTGCATTGTTGTGTAGCGAAGTGCTGGACAAGATTGCGAAACTCTTCCAAAAGGGTCAAAAGAGTGTGTCACAGAAATGTGTCGCAGGAGTGCCACACAAAAAGTGTTCTATCTCCAACAGAAAGGGTTGTAGCGAGTGGTTCAAACAGTTAGGGAGTAGATGGAGTAGCAAAGCTTTCACCACAACCCTGGCCAACTTGAGAAAATAGACACCAAAGACCAAAGGCAATCAGCTGAAAAATTCCCGCAAAAGGTTTGATAGATCAGAGTGCGCGCAGTGATTGCGCACCTAGTCAGTCTTGCAATCACTGCAAAGGCTTGCGTTTGCGAACCCACTCAATGTTGTACACTCTGATGACTCATAACCATTGTGCCATTGCATGCGCTCAGGGTCCAAAATCTGGTGCAAGAAGCAGATCTGTCAAACGTCCTTCCAACATCTTCCAGCTAGTCGTGTGAGTAGTCTCGTACCATGTGAAATGTCTCTCGATTCATGAGGATAAAACCTTGCTCCACCACTCACAGCAACCCGCGTGTTGCAGAAGACTGGCAAGAGGTTTCTGCAAAAAAATCTTGCAAGAGTACGTGCGTGTTTATAAATGTGTGTTACAACCGTCTCCTACAACAGTGTTCTAATTAAATATAGTGTCTCACAAGGGGGTGGATCGGTTCCAGGGGTTGAACGCCGGGGTGCCTCTGGAAATTGCTGCGCTGCGTTTTCGCAACAAGTCTCAGGGTTTGGCTGTTGCACATATTCTTAAGAATGCATCAGAAAAGATCGTAGGCGCGGCGCAGGACCTTGCGAATTTGCTATAGTAGGGTGTGGTGGGGGCTGCAAGCGCGTGGCAGGCGCAGAGAATCGTAAGGGTGCGATGTTTGGTACAGGTGTCTGGCTTCGCGATTTGTATTTGTGGCGGGAGTGATTTCATTGAAGGTGTCCTGGCAGCAATCGCAGTTCCATTTGGGCTCACTCTTTTGTGGCAGGTGCAATACCTTGTCCGCGGAGGCCTTCGGATTGTAGATGCGTTTCAAGACTGCGCGAGGTGCCTTGTTGCTGCTTGTGCCTTGTGCAGTGGTACGCTATGCTTTCATGCGTGCGGTGCTTGTGGTGAATTGTGGTCTCACGTGGTGTACGATGTGTTGAGTGATCAGCGATGTGGTGCAGTGTGATGTACGATGTGTGATATGGCCATCGGTGCAGTGGTGAAGTGGCGCGGTGTAGTGAAGTGTCATGTGGTGTTGCAAGAGTGCCTCAGAAGACGGTTCCAAACAAGAACGGCTCGCAAGCGTGTCTCTCAAAAGATGCCTTGCGCAAGTGTTTACAGGAATGTCTGACAAGAGTTTGTTGCAAGAATTCCCCAACGAGAATGCTTGCAATCAAGAGTGCTTCGCAAGTGCAAGCTTGAGGTTCCACTTGACTTGACCCTTTTCCGTCCGACAGGGTGGGCTCGAGAGCCAGCGGTGAAACGTGCGCGCGCGGCGCTTTTGGTCCTTGGTCGGACCGCGTGTTTTCCTTCGGTTAGGAACCGCTTTCATGGTAGGCGGAGCTCTAGCTGCATCCAGGTGACCTTCGAGGAGATCCTGGCGGCAAGGGCTGATGCCCACTGAGGAGGTCCCAGTGTGGGATGGAGATCCAAGCTCCTTCGACCCCTTCGCCACGTCCTGCAAGTGGTTTGAACGGCGCCTTGAAGGACAGCGAGAAGAAGCTCGCAGCTCCCAAGATTTGGCAGCGCCTCTCTGGCTCGGCCAAGTCAGTGGTGCGCCACCTCGACCCGAAGGACTTCAGCTCGGACACAGGCCTGGAGAATCTACTTCGGGTACTTCGTGAAAGCCCTCTTCAGAAGCTTCCAATCCCCGACTCATTTTCGAGGTTGGAAAAGTGGAGTGGCCTCAGACGAGGTCCCAATGAGACCATTCCGCAGCTTCTTGTCCGACAAGAAGAGGTTCGTGGAACTTCAACAAGCTCTCCAACGTGCAAGGCATGAACGAGCTCGCGCTTGGAGGCGCCGATGGACTCGCGCGGCATCTATGATGCCATGACGCGGAACCTGTCCGCGCTCCATGGGCTGAGGGATAGCCGAGCGGGCTACGAGCTCACGCTCGCGGTGGCGCAAGCCGTGAAGGCCAAGACTCAGGTCGGAGGCCACGCGCAGCTTGGTGATGCGCTCACTAAGCAAGGAGCTTGCAAGATGCTGCTTCAGTTCTTCTTGGAACGCCAAAAGTGGCGACAATAGTGCGTGACCCGAAGTTCGAAGCCGGCAGGAAAGTCCACAGGAGGATCCTCGAGCAAAAGATGCGAGAGATGGAAACCAATGAGGTTGCTTTCATCTCAGCTTTGACAGAAGTTGGCCAAACAATTTAATTGGCCGTGGGATGCAGAGGAATCCCCTGTTCGCTATGATCCCTACACATGAGGCCGAAAAGGGTCAGGAAGTGTATGGGATGCAAGCTTGAGGTTCCACTTGACTTGACCCTTTTCCATCCGACAGGGTGGGCTCGAGAGCCAGCGGTGAAACGTGCGCGTGCGGCGCTTTTGGTCCTTGGTCGGACCGCGTGTTTTCCTTCGGTTAGGAACCGCTTTCAGCAAGAATTTCTTGCAAGAGTGTATGACCAACTTCTAGTGTCTCTTGTGAATGCTTCACAAGACCTTTAGATGTGTCTTGCAAGCCCCACTAGAGTGCCTTGTAAGGGTGTCTTACAAGATCCTTTGACAAACATGTTTTACTAACGTGTTTTACAAGAATGTTCTGCAAAACGTGTCTTGCAAAGAGTTTGACGAGATACTTTTGTGGGAGTGTCTGGCAAGAGTGCCCTAGAAAAAGTGTGGTTGCTGCTATGTTGATGGACAGCATCAACTCAATTGCTTAGCAGACTTTGGTTGAACGGAGGAATCGTTCAGTAGTGGTCAGAGGAAGGTGGCTTCCGCATTTTGCAGGATTTCAACTTCACCTCTTTGTTCCAACGTGCGCTGCAATTCTATGCAGTTCTGCCGCTACCTGCGAGACATTCGTGCAAGTCGTGTTCAGTCTACAGTAAGTTGTCTTTTATATAGTTTGTAGCGCCGTCTTCCCATTTTACATCTTGCATTCGGGCCTTTATCTCTTTCGCTAGTCCGAGATGACGCTACTATTTTGCCATTGCATTCTATTGCTTGCTCAGCTAGACTTTGGTCATGACTTCGTTCATTAAAGGGTAAGCGGCTTCGTAAGCCTCTTCAGGCAATATGGTGCCCAAAAAAATAGATCGGCTTTGGTTTGATGCGGGGTTGACGGAGCTTGCCTAGCTGCTTGGTGTGTTCTGGAGCAGTTTACAACCCTCATAAGTAGATCGTGTGATGCGAGTGGGGAGGCAAAGTTGTGAGGTGACGCGCAAAATTTTTCCAGTTGCCCATCTGTTGGAGGAGTATTGCTGCATGGACCGCCCGGGACTGGAAAGACATCCTTGCTTCATCACTTCAGAGACGCTGGTTTTTATGAACTTTTTTGGGGTGTTACTGCCCACATCAACACACAATATGTTGGAGAGACGGAGAAGGTGCTCAAATCCTTGGCCAATTCAGCTGCAACCCGCGCCCACTTGCTTCATGTTTTCTTCTTTGACGAGATTGAGACTCACGCTCGCAAACGGACTTTGCAGGACAGCAGCCGGGTTGATGGTCTGTTTGTCTGTCTGTCTGTGTCTGTCTGTGTCTGTCTGTGTCTGTCTGGTCTGGTTGGTTGGTTGGTTGGTTGGTTTGTTGGTTTGTTGGTTTGTTGGTTTGTTGGTTTGTTGGTTTGTTTGTTTGTTTGTTTGTTTGTTTGTCACTCACTCCACTGCGCACACCAAGACTGCCAACTTCGCTTCTGGCTCAAGTCACTGAGAAAAGATCACAGCTGCTGAGTCCACCGTGTGCAGGACTGACCACTGTAGGTTGCACAGGTGATTGATCCTTGAATTTCGCATGGCAGCGGAGCTCTGGAGCTAGCCTCAAGTCCACTGCCTCGGAGGGAAGTGGGAGTGGAAGTAGAGCGCTGAGGCAGGGGTTGCTGTAGAAAAATAGTCGAGCCAGTCTACCTGGAAAGGGGAGGTCAAGCGAGCCACCATTTGCGGAAGCTTTTGGATGTAGACCTGTTCCAGCTCAGTCCGCCGATGGCGGAAATTCCGAAGCAAGTCACGCTCCAACATAATTCGAAGTACGGCGCGATGCAATGGGAATGGACGGTCAAAATCTTGGAAGAGCCACAGTTTCCAAGCAGTGTGCGCAGTAGCGCACATCACACAGGCGCCGTCCCCCAAAAACCTGGGGGTGAAGGTTGAGTTGCGTGACATGTCTGGCCAGCTACATCGAAAGTACAAGGTTCTGAACGAAATCGAATTCCACACACCGCTTGGTGGAGCCTTCCGCTTGCAGGGGGCGCGCATAGTCCGAAGTGGCACCTTTGCCAAAGTCCGTGGCCGAAAGGCCTTGACGAGAAGCTGCTTGAGCAATTCACTGGAGCAAGACCGTGGGCGTTGGCGACCGGGGCTACCGGGGCTCAAAGTGAGTTCCTTCGTGGCCTCATCGGGTCAGAAACCGAAGGTCAAACGGATAAACTTCCAAGAGCGCAACATCAGCTACTGCGCTCAAACCAATTTAAAGGACTGCTTATAGTGGACCCGTAAAGAAGTGGTGGAGCCCCTCAGAGAGCTCTATAGGGCCTGTAGAAAAAGCAGAACCTCTCGCAGTTGGAGCGCCAAGGACTGAGTAAACTTCGAGCGCGCAAAATGCTCACGCCTAGGGTGGACATGAACCAAACAAGTTTGTTTGGGGCTAGTGGGAATGTAGGAGACCTGACTCAAAAGCGCATCTTGGCCATCGGGCTCCCAAAGTTGCAAGGGTATGTAAAGATAGATAATTTAGATACATATTGTATGCAAAACGCAAAGCCTGTGAGCACCACTGGAAGCACTACTTGAGCCACAACCACTGAACACGAGCGGTCGCAAACAATATAGAGCGATTGTTGGACAGCTACTGTGGCTTGCACTGATCAGAGCTGACTTGTGGTATGCCACTCAGGAACTTTTGAGAGATTTGACTGCGCCAATCATTGAGGTACATTGCTGGTACTAAGGACTACTGTCAACGACTGTGTCCAAGTGTGATGCTGTCAAGCTCAGACTGTCAAGTGGACAGACTCTGACTGGGCTGGATGTCGGACCACTGGGAAAAGCGCAAGTGAAACTGTGGTTCAAATACTGAACTCAACTGTTTCTTTTGGAGGCAGGAAGCAAGGCACAATCGCGCTGAGCTCGGCGCAATAGGACAACGCACAAGCGAAGCGCTGAAGCGCTGTTTGTCTAGAACCTGATCACTGGTAGGTTGGTTACAAGCAAAAGACAGAGCGTGTAGAATTGAGATTCCTGTGTGCGCAGGAACTGGAAAGGTCCTGAACCTGCTAAAGGTTGGAACTATAGTGAACTGCGCCGACGTTCTCACATAAGTACCTTGGTTCTGAACTGTTGCTTGTGCGCTGTGTGTTTTCACCTCCTTTGAACGGTTTGAATTGTAAGAGCTACCAGACTGTCTCACCAAACTAACTGCTTAAAACACTGGCGCTTCTATTCTTTCTCCCCGACTACTCTTGATAAACTTGAGGTGGAACGCTGTACCGCCCACACTGCTTGCACGGTATAGCTGTTTTTCTGCAGGAGGTGTTTAAAGCCACTGTCTTGCATGCTTTTGGCACGGAACACTTTGAATGCCACTGGCGTGACGCACTGAAATTTGCCGCAGTTTTTTCTTCTCACTGCTCGACAGTCGCTGAGGACACCTTCGTGTGCACCTCACCGCTGAAGTGCCTGTGCAAGGTGACACTCAGCGGACGATGGCTGCTGCTGAACCTGTGCCAGACTTTGAACTGTCCGGTGCACTGGAGATGCAGTAAGCATTGCTGCAACAGCAGGTGATCTCACTGAGAGGGAACCGTGAGAAGGCCACTCATCGTCGCTGGTGGCCACGAGTGTCCACTGCTGACGGATGGACTGTACTGCTTGCGCATGCCACTGCAGAGACCAAGTGCAATTTGCAGTCTTTACAGTCACTGTCACTGATGAGGTCAAGACGCGCGGCGTCACACTGGGAAGCTGTCACTGCCGACCTCACTGGACCTACGCTTCCACTGAGTTTGAGCTCTACAGCAATGTGACTGATTCACAGTTAGTCCTTGCCAAGAATGAGCTCTACTTAGCAGACTGTGCATCTCCGACGTAGGTTTGAGGGCACGTTTGGGTGAAGATAGTGAAGAGAGCTTTGATGTCCCCATGTTGTTGTGCCTCTTCTTGCGCACAGATACTGCACTGAAAAAGGTGTTGTAGAATTGGTGATGCGTTTTTGTTTCCATCGGCGACAGTAGTGCCTGTACTGGCCAAACCTATTCGAGCCCTACAAGCCCTAGATTCTGCATCAGTCGACGGCGCGTCTATGTCATTTATGGCATTGATGAAGAGGGCACTGGGCGCACTGCTGGATGCAATCACCGGCGGCACCACTGAAGATGGAAGTGTCAGTTGACGCTGTGTCAAGTAAGCACTGACGAAGTTCTCCTGCATGTGAACACTGATCACAGTTCAAGGGGAGTGTTAAGATATCACTCCAGTGCGCTTTCCACGGCTGCCAACTTGGCTTTTGGCTCAAGTCACTGAGAAAAGATCACAGCTGCTGACGACTGTAGGTTGCACAGGTGATTGATTCTTGAATTTCGCAGTTTTAAAACATAGCGCGACTCATTAAACTTTTTGTGCAAATTCATCCGGCAGCCGTGTGCCTAGGAGTGTTTGCAGCAGTTGATAAAGCGTCGTGTGTCATCTCATCCATCAATGAGCCAAAGGTAGTATGCAAAAACAAACTTGGCAACTTTCTGTGACATTGCTGACAGGATAGCAAGGAGTCCAACAAACGTGATGTCCTGTCCGTATTGCTGGGCATCGTGGGCAGAGCAGGTATTGTAGTTCTTGCTTGTACGAATTTCCTGCACCAGCTGGACGATGCAATGGTTCGACCTGGTCGCCTAGAGAAATGGATCCCAGTCCTTCCTTTCAGCTTCGAAGAGAGGCCAGTTTGCTTGTGAAGATGGCGTATTCAAGCTAAGCGGAATCAAGGTTCATGTGCCTATGAAGTGGAAGGTTGAATTTCTTCGCGGAGAAGGTGCTGAGCGTCTTCGATGGTGCTGGGAAAGGTGCGTTCTGTTAAAGTTCAAGAAGTCAACCATTTGGCCATTTGCCCACTGGATTTTTTCGACATGTCAAGGTCACGTTGTAACATGATGACGAGTGGAACTAGAATGGACTTCGCCGCTCATGGGAGGCTTGTGTCGGCCTTCTGGATGGAGTGTTGCCGACTTGATGGATTCGACTGTTGCGGACTTGGATCTCTTGCGTCGCAAGAGTGGAATTCTCATGGCGAAAGTGAATGAATCTGGGATGAGTCAGGCTTGGTGCGACACGACTGCAGTGTTTTTCCTTGTCTCAGAAGCCACCCCCTACAGGTATTTGTTCAAGAGGTATAGATATACAGGGAAAAAACATGACAGGAGAACTTTGCGAGGTAAGCAGAAAGAAAACAAAGAGATCTCGATGGAAAACAAAGGAACCAGAAGAACATGGAAGGAACACAAGTGGGAAGTAAAGAGAACCAATCTGAAACTATAAGGAACCCAAAAGCAAGTTAGTGGAACCAAATAAAGGGAAAGAGACATTGTGACCCTTCACTTCACTTGGAAACACCTCAGACCTTGCAAGGACGTGGACTTTTCTCAATTGGGCATGCGTCATGGGGAGATTCGGAAAAGGTGAAAAACCTGGTGCCCGCAAGGTGAGACAAATCAGATCTTTGCGAAGCGAATGGCAGCCAGCTGCGGCTAGATCTGTCTTTCACATGCTAATCTCTAAAGCTAGCATCAGCTCGGGAGTTGCTTTTGCTTTAGCAAGTTTTTGGCCGATGGGAATTGCCTGCCCTGTTACCACATGAATTTCCACAGCTATGGGCCCTCCCCCTTTCGATTCCTTCCTGCCCTCTTTGCCCCTTTTTGAGGTGGCCTTGCGAGCTTTCTTCAAGTACTCCATGGTAATAGCAATATTCATCAACAGAAAGATCCAACCCCATAGTGTGCTTTGCTGCTTGAGTTTACAGCAGGATCGGAAACCGCTCCAATCTTTTCTGCTGGGGGTAGCAAAGTCAATGGATGCACAGATGCACATGGTGTTTTGCTTCCAAGGCTTGTTCACAGGTTCGACCCATAGCTACATGGTCAAATGGCCTGTAAGTATTTGTGGGTGGGCTCTATTCCAAAGTGTGAAATGACAGGCACTGCGCAAGGCACAGTTTTGTTTGTTTTATGCCACCTATGCCGTATGTTTCTTTTTCCCGCAACCTTCCGGCCTGGTGACAGGCGGAGCTCAACAAAAACTTTTGCGACCTGATGCAGGAAGAGCGGGCCAAATCTCGGATGAAGCTGCCACCGCATCAGACGCGCTTGGATTTCTTGGGAATATTTATTTGTCAAGTGTTCCTGGCGCAAGCGGAACATCTAATTTTCGATCTTTGTAAAGGCGCTTGACCGACTGCTGTTGTCCACTAGTTTTCTTTCAGTCACTAGTTTTCGCTAGTTTCTATCCAGTCATGATTAATGGTGTTTGCCTGGGAGGTACCATTCATTTGATTTCAGTGGGCCAGCGAGGCCACAAGTCTATGGAATTGGTGCTGGGTCCAGGTTGGTTGGACCGGAGACTTGCTTCTGCCTATTTGGCCAACTACGCTACTATACGCCGAATGGCGATGGTGGTCCCATTAAATGCAGACACCTGGAATGACCAGAAAGAAAATTTCGCTTTCTACCTCCGCGAAGTCGACCTGCCCTTAGTTGATGCCGCGCTGTTTTGCACAGAGTAGGATTCAATGAGATCTTATGGACTGAGGAGGAAATGATGGGCCATTTTCGCAAACGTGGACATTCCTGCCTCCTGGTGCTGGACTACGAGTCACTTTCAGGTCTTGTAAAGGAAGGTGGCTCAGCTTCGCGAAATGATGGAGTTTCAAGTGGGCAAGGTGAAACAAAGACCACCTCCCACACCACCTCTAGGAGTGCTACGAGCACCATCAACCGTGCAGAGACAGAAAGCGAGTCAGCAACTCAAGGAGTCACTCAGACTTCTGGATATTCCAAAAGTGAAGGTGGCACGACGTCATGCGGGATCAGCGCCTCCAAGAATGATTCGACATCCACCTCAACTGGGGTTGGAACATGCGGTTACGTCCCAATTCCTACCCTGTCAAAGGGTTGGAGCAGTTCGACAACAAACAGTACATCGCAATCGCAGGCAAAGTCTTGGTCGTTGGCGCAATCGGGTTCAGCCGGAAAGTCGCAAACCGAAGCCAAATCCAAGGCAAACACGTTTGGAGCAGCAATTTCGCAAGGAGGAGGCGAGTCTCATGGTCACTCCACAGGTGAGACAACAAACTACACCACTTCTCAATCTTCAACAGAAGGAGTTACTCTCAGGCATGTGAGGGCCGAGGCAGTGAGTGATGTTGTGGACAAATTTTGCAAAAAGAGAGGAGAAGACTTTCCAATGGCCATCCTCACAGAGTTCCCAGACCTATGCGACTTGCCGTTCCTGCAATGGCCTCCTTTGTTCGAAGCAGATGAAGAGGAAGAAACGAGTGGAAGCATTATGGCTGAGCTCCTGCTCTCAGCATTTCCTGAGGTCATGCCTGTGCAGCTGCATGTCTTCACTGACATTGACAGCTACACAGAACTTGGAGAAACCATTGGAGCGAAGGAGCCCCTCTTGGATTGGCAACATCCCACTGGAAATTCTGAGGAGGGGCTCAAGCGTATCGAAGTCTCAAACATTTGTATTCAACTTGACACTGCGGGATTGGTAAGACATTCCAGGCTTCTTGACATCGCTTTCAGTCTGGCGGAAATTAGTGATGGAAGATGCTCCACACATTCACAGTGTTCAACTCAGTATCAAGTCTCTGTCTCCACGCGAACGCAAACGTACAAGAGCCCTTACAAAGATGCCAAAGGATTCAGCCATTGTCGCAACTTTCTCGATAAGGTACTTGTGACAGATGTTGAGTTGATCGAGATTGGTTTTAAAGAACAAGTCATCGTGGAAGCTGTGCAAGTGTTGACCTGTGCTGCAGGCCAGGAAGCCTTTCCATTAAAAAACTCTATGCTGCCGCTATATAGAGGTGAGAAAGAGGGAGATTTGTTTGGAACTACACAAGGTGAGAAATGACACGGAATACAGAGAATTAGACAGAGCCAGTCTGAGAAGCTTTTCGGATCCTGCGGCAGAGTGAAGATGACAGGAAAAAGGAAGAGAGGCCTGTCGGTAAGTGACATCGTTTGCTTGTTTTGAACAACTTGCTGGAAAGCATCTAGCCGAATTCTTTTGTACACTTGGCATCCCATTCCAACCTTCTGCTTTCAGAGAATTATTTTCTCCCTCTGCTCACCTTCTAGCCGCCGGCCTACAGCGTTTGGGAAGCTTCAGAGACAGCTTCAGTCCTCGAAATGTTTTGGGCAGCCCCAACCATCAAATACCTGGCGAGTGCTCAGCCGTTCTTAAGTAACACGCGACCTCACTTGGACCATGCAGCAGCCTATGGCTGCCCAACATGATCACTTTGGACGTTTTTTTAACGCACAAGGAACCTGGCACCTCAGTGATATAAGAAACAGTTCACACCGCAAGAATAGCCAACCACTTCTGTATTCTGCCAGAGCCATGGATGGAGTGCGGCAATTCTTCCACAGCTTTCAGCTCTAGCTCGAAGTACTCCAGTTGAAGTTCTGAATTGCATATTATGTCTACGATGCCTTCCAAGCCTTTTGTCCTGGCTATGGGCGGCCCAGGTGTGGAAAAATCTTCTTTGCTCAATGCTTTGATGGACGATCCCAAGGCCTTTTCAGCTGACCAAAATCCCAAAGTAGTGGAGACGGATGCATTGAAGATGATGGATTCAGGATGCTTTCCCAGTCCGCATGGTAATGATTCTAAGGCCACGCAGAAGCTTTTGGAGCAGTTTAAGGAGCATGGTGCTCCATCAGCAGTGCTTCTCTGCTGCAAATCGCTTTTGTACGATCAGATTTGCCAGAAAATTGTGTCCTTCCTCCAGCGAGTCTTTGGTCATCAGACACTGACGCACGTCGTCTTTGTACTCACACAACAGGGCCTCAAGGACAACCAACTGAAAGAGTATGCCAGGGCTGAAGAAAAACTCCCACAGCCACCGGCAGAGCTAGACGACAGATGGAGACAGGCCATCATGAACCATTGGACCCACAACTTGGCCAAAAACTTCAATCGTTCGGTTAGCTCTATGCATGAATGGTTAGGTGAAAAGGCAGACTTGCCTGCGCTCATCTTGGATAGTCAGGCGTGGAAGTATCACG